CAGAGAGCTGAATTCAGCCCTATCTGCTCATGAGGCTAGGAGCAGGCTGCACGTCCAAGTTTGGATGCTCAGAGAGAGAGAGCAAAGAAACCAATAGCTAGAAGATTAGCAGAACTAAGCCCCTGTTCTGGGTGGGGAGAGTGGGTGGAGCAGGTGAAGGAAACTTGAAGTGCCTTGGTTCTGTGTCTGAAGGGTTAATGTCCCAGTGGGACCTCCCTTAGTACCTGTGTGTGTGTAAGATTGGAAAGCTCCCGTCTGGATGAGCACTTCGCAGGATGCTGGCCTAGGGGTCATCTCTGGGAGGAGGCTTTGATGAGTTGGTTCCAGTGATCTCATATACTTCCCTCATTTCCTTTCCTCAGACTGAATCATCCCAACGTGGTGGCTGCCCGGGAGGTCCCTGAAGGGATGCAGAACCTGGCACCCACTGACTTGCCGCTGCTGGCCATGGAATACTGCCAGGGTGGAGACCTTCGCAAGGTGAGGCACTGGGCTGTGATCCTGGCAGTGCAGGGACAGCTACTGGGGGAAGTGCAGGGCTGCCTCTCAAGAGGCTTGGTGGGTGATTCAGTGGGATTTCTCCAGCTGCTTCCACATGCTGCTGCCACCTAATGTTGAACAGGATCTGTGCCTGCTTGCGCCTTCTCTCAGGAAGTGGCTGGGTTGATCCCAGGTGCGTTTTTCATCTTCTTTCAAGATTTTTATTAGGCACTTTCCATTTCCGCTGGCGGTGAGCAAAGGTGTGTGTGTCTATGGGATGCACATGCAGAGAGCCAGGGATGTGTAACAGATGGACAACAGGAAGTGACTATGGCTCAGAACATCCCAGGGCAGGCCAGGCCAGTGGGCGAACCTCTGCCCAGCAGAACTTGTGTTTGGTTTTGCTCTGATGTTGTTTTTCTAACTTTTGCTAAAAGCCCAAATGTAGATAATGTCCAAAGCACATGGCTGCAATTAGGAAGATGGGTCCTTGGCTGGCTGAGTCAACTGCTGCTGGATGCAGGGGAGGAGGCTCTTCCTCCTGGAGGAGCTGGTGGAGATGATGGCAGCAATTGCCCAATCTGTGACGAGGGAAATGGGATTGAAGTGTTAGTGTTTAAGGGCCTGATCCTGCAGGCACACTTGTGAGTAACGCTGCAGAATCTGCAGAGCTACTCACATCCATAAGCATTTTCAGGGTTGGGGCCCAAACCCGGGACCGGGGCACAGAGGAGACAGTTTGATAGTTACACTCTGTTTTGATTTTCCGCAGTACTTGAACCAGTTTGAGAACTGTTGTGGCTTGCGGGAGGGGGCCATTCGTATCCTGCTCTCTGACATCGGTAAGTGAATACAAGAATGGCCACACTGAGCCCATCAAGCTCAGTATCCTGTTTTCCAGCAGTGGTTGGTGGGAGATGCCTTGGAAAGAGGGACTAGAATGATTGGCAGAAAGACGTTTAGGGACACCCAGAGCAGGGGGTTGCATTTTTGACCATATTGGCTGATAGCCATTGCTGGACCCATCCTTCTTTAATGTGTCTTAACCCTCTTTTTGAACATATTTATAGTTTTGGACTTTACAGCATCCCCTGCATTGTGTCAAGAAATACTTCCATATGTATGCTGCCTGTTAATTTCATTGGCTGATCCCTGGGTCTTATGTAATGAGAAGGAGTAAATAACACTGCCCTTTTTGTTTTCTTTGCCCCGTTTGTGATTTTATACACTGTTGTCATATCCCCAAGCCATCTTTTTGCCAAGCTGAACAGTCCCAGTGTTTTTAAGGTCTGGGCATACCAGGGATTTTATATTGTGGTGTTACGTTTTCTATCTTCCTATCTATCTCTTTCCTAATTCTCTTTGTTTTTTCAACTGCTGTTGCAGATATTGCAGAGAACTGTCCATGATGACTCCAAGATTTCTTTCTTGAGTGATAACTAATTTAGATCTCAAGTATCAGAGGGGGAGCCGTGTTAGTCTGAATCTGCAAAAGCGACGAGGAGTCTTGTGGCACCTTAGAGACTAACCGAAGTGTTGGAGCATAAGCTTTCGTGGGCAAAGACCCACTTTGTCAGATGCATGTATCTGATGAAGTGGGTCTTTGCCCACGAAAGCTTATGCTCCAACACTTCGGTTAGTTTATAAGGTGCCGCAGGACTCCTCGCCGCTATTACTTTGTACGTGTAGCTGGGATTATGTCTCCTCTTTGCATTGATCAACACTGAACTTCAGTTGTTATTTTTGTTGTTCAGTTTTGTGAGATTCCTTTGCAGATCTTTGCAGCCAGCTTTGGATTTAACTATCTTGAGTAGTTTTGGATTGTTGATCATTTATTAGTATGCTGAACTGGCCCCCCTTCCTTCAGAGCCCCCAACGATTTACCTGTCTCCACTATGAAAACTGGCCATTTTTTTTCTTCTGTCCTGTAGCCAATCATAGAATACTAGGACTGGAAGGGACCTCGAGAGTCATCGAGTCCAGTCCCCTGCCCTCATGGCAGGACCAAATACTGTCTAGACCATCCCTGATAGACATTTATCTAACCTGCTCTTAAGAGATGGGGATTAGTCTCAGGACTATCCTTTGCTTAGAGCCTTGAGGGATATTGTCAAAGGCTCTCTGAAAGTGGAAGTTCACTATTCCCTGAATCACCTTTGTCCACATTTGTTGACATCCTCAAAGATTTCTAATGGATTGATGAGGCATGATTTCCCTTTAGAAAAGCCATGTTGACTCTTCCCAACAAATCTTGTTAATCTAAGAGTCTGAAAATTCTGTTTACCGGTTTGCCTGGTACTGAATTTAGGCTTACTGGCTTGCAATTGCCTGGAGCCTGTTTTAAAAGCCATCAGTTCATTAGTTATCTGCCAGTCTTCTGGTAAAAACACTGATTAAAGAAGTAGGTTATATACCATAGTTTGTAGTTCTGCAGTTTTGTTTTTGAGTTTCTTTAGAACTTTTGGGTGAATGCCATCTCATCCTGGAGACTTATTACTGTTTAATGTATCAGTTAGTTCCAGAACTTTTTCTACTGACAACTCTATCTGGGACAGTTCCTCGGATTTGTTTCCTGAAAAGAATAGCTCAGATGTGGGAATCCCCCTCCTAGGAATCTCAGTTACATCACCTGCAGTGAAAACTGTTGCAAAAAATGTATTTAGCTTCTCAGTGAACATGTCTTCCTTGAGTACTCCTTCAGTACCTCGATTGCCTAGTGGTCCCAATAACTTTTTGGCAGGCTTCTTGCTTCTGATGTACGTACAGAGGAATTTGTTAATGTCTTTTGCTAGTTGCTCTTCAAATTCTTTTTGAGTCTTCCTAATGCTTCTTGATGGCAGCAGGACCTGCTGCTGTCCCAGCCTGGGAAAGGAGCCATTTCAGTTCCTTTCTACCTGGGGGAAGGAGATCAGTGACCCTGGATGTCTGCACTTTATATTGGGACTTCATAGCATTTTCCTTCCTGCCTTGCTCTGTGAGCCTCCCCAGAAGGGAAATGGCCTCTCTGACTTGTCTCTTTGACGCTGGGATGTGGAAAGTAACATACTTCCTTTCCCAGCAAAAGCCTGCTCAAGGGATTTCCTGGGAGGCACCAGACAGGATGAGCAAGTTCCAGCTTGTGCTTCTTCCAGGGATTCCCTGTTGCAGCCCATCATCAGGGCCAGGGTGGGCCCCTCCCCTCTGCAGTGACTTACATCATCCATGTGGCATCTGAGACGGATGGGAACGCAGACTGACATGACAGCACCTGCTGTGGGCCGTGCGCTTTGAACAGGCCCCTTTCCCCAAACATAGAGCACCCTGGCATGAGTGTTTAGGTGAAGCATGGAAGGTGCCATCTCCAGGGTAGCCAGGCTCCCATCTCCAGGGAACACTCCAGGTTAGAATGGAGACCTTGGTATGCTCTGGAAGCATATGGGAGCCAGTGCAGTAACAGTGCCCAAGTGCCCTCTGTTCTTGCTGGCTCACGCAGTGTCAGTCGCAGGAGCGAAGCCGCAGTGGCAGCGTTAATGCAAGATTAGTCGGTAGCTTTGTGGGAAAGTGGCTTGTTGCCTCGGGGGATTTCTGATGTTAGATTCCGGAGATGATTGGCATGAAGTGAGTTGTTTGTGGCTCTCGTGTAGGTGTCTTTCAGGGGAAGGAGCCTGTTGAACTGGTGCAGGCTTGGAGGATGAGCAGACTGTTCTTCCTGGAGGCACTGAAGCTGAGCAGGATCTGTTCCTGCCCCTCATTTTGAGCACCTCTGGCCCAGGGACTTCTTCTGTTTGCCTCCCTGAGCACATTCTTGGCCCAAGGCGAGGCTGAGGACTGGCAGCCACTGCAGGGGTGTCATGCTGAGCGCACAGGTAGTGATGGGAGCAGCCCCAGGTCTGATGATCCCAGACCCTGACCCTGGTTAGCTAGAAATGTTTCTTAGTGGCCCGTCTGAACCTCTGGCATATGCCCTGCTAGGAATTAGTCAGTGTCTTAAGGGTAAAAGTCACTCCTGGGGTTTCCCTGTGGTCAGGGCTGGGTAGACTGATGCGTGTAGGGGAGGCTGGGGCACTGGGTTCTATTCTGTGCTCTGTGACTTGAGGAAGTGGGAAGTGAGTCCCTTTGAGTCAGTGCCAGGAAATGCTGCTGCAGACTATGGAAATGCCACCAGCCCTTTCCTTGCAAGCCGCTGGAGTGAGCTGTGTCCCCACCTAATGGCTGCAGGGTTTTACTTAGGGATTGGCGTGGCCGAGCATGAAAAATGCTGGCTTTGGTCCCAGTTCTCCATGCAGCCTTGGTTCTTCTTGGCACAAAAAGTAGAGAGGTGGCTCTGCTCTACGTCTTTGTGCCTCTCCGGCTTCTGGGATGCTCGTGTGGGCTCAGCATCGCTGGAGATATCAGTGCACCAGACAGGCCTGCGTCTCTAGCCAGGCCTTCTGATCTTGGGGGCTGAGAGCCAGGACAGCGCAGATGCCTGTTTGTGGCAGAAGTGTTCTCTGGTTGGGAGAACAGCAGCCAGTCCAAGGACGGAGACCTGGCACGATGCAGACCTGGCCTGACATGGTGGCCACTGGCTTATGACTGATCTTGTTAGGACAGACGAGCATTCTCTCTAAGCCCTCCTCCCACCTGGCTGCTTCATTTCCTACCTGCTGCAGCAGGAGCTCTCCTAGGTATCTGCCTCATGGCGGGGATGCCAGGAGGAGTTAGGCAGGGGTCAGTGAAGGTTTGCTATGGCGTGGATGGACCTTTCAAGTCAGCAAAGAGAGCCACTGCCATAGAACAAACTCTGCTTCCATCTGGAAGAGCTGCCCTTCAGGGTTCAGCATACTGCAAGCAGCTTCCAGGACAAGTCTCATTGCACTGTACCCCGTAGCCTGCCCTCCCTCACTGAGCCGTGCTTGTGAAGTGCCTGCAGGCTTAGATGCTCTTGAGTAACAGCAGGCTCTCTCTGTCTCAGCCTCTGCTCTCAGGTACCTTCATGAGAACAGGATCATCCACAGAGACCTGAAACCAGAGAACATTGTCCTACAGCAAGGAGAACAAAGGGTGAGCAAGAGCCCAGTGTCTTTGGAGTGTCAGGGTATGGGTGAGACAAAGTGAATGACAGGAGCTGAAGCTGCAAACATGATCCGTCGCCAAGAGATTTTGCAAGCTGAAATGATTAGCCCTATCTGAGAGCTGGTGGGTGCCTCTTGTGATCCTTGGGATTTATACAAACTGCTAATGGTTTCTCTGAATGTCCATGTACTGTGAGCTGTATCCGCCTCCCCTCCCCCTTACAGACTGGCCACGAGGCCAAGAGGAGCGGACTCTGCCAAAGCAAAAGTGGTTGTAGGTGTCTGATTTGTGTGGAAATTGGCTGGGGGGTGTAGTTCTTGTTTTATAGACACAGCTCTGACCACCAGATCTCTCTGCCTCTCTGATGCTTTGCTGTTATGCAGAAACAATTCCCCAAAGGCTTTAGACACCCCCTGTGCCTAGTCCTGGCTGTGTGACGAGATGGTGGCTGGGCTGTGCTACTGCTGCAGACTTCCAGTCCCAGCATGACCTCCCTTTCCCAATCAGGGCACTTCAGACGCTAGACTCTCTTTCGAAAAAGTGAGCCGCTTTCTCAAAAAAATCCTCTTGTTGTCTAGACGCTCTTTTTCGAAAGACGTAGCCTTAGTTACATCAGTGGAGGGCAGCATCGGACCTGCGGAGCGGACACGGTTCACCAGGATTAGCACCAGCAGACCACCTCCGCTGATACAGCCGCTTGAACCTCCCATTCACCGTGGAGCACCATCTCCAGCCAATGGGCACTGGGTGAATTGGGACACCGCCTCCTACAGCTCAAATGGGCTAGGAATGGCGATCCACAGCCAACGGAAGCTTTAAATGGCCATATCTGCAGAGGCACAGGCTAATAAGCACTGGCAGAAGCTATATCCGACTTATTGCCCACCTGAGTTTAATGCTACTTATGTGCATTAAATTTAAGTGTAAAAGAAAAAATGCAACTCAGTGTGAAGAAGAACGTCTGTGTGGGCATTACCAAGGGACGTGAAGTCAGGTGTCACTTCTGCTGTTGCAATGTAGAGCACTACTGCAAGGTGGTCATCAGCGATAGAAGATCTGTTCCTAGATGTGATGAATTTGATCACAGACAATGTCTGCTCACAGATATAAGTTGATCCGAACAAAACAAGCATCTTTGGGCATGAGCCTTGATCTTTGGAAAGCTTTGTTCATTGAGAGATGGATACAATTCCAGAAGTGGTGTTGATTTGAATTGCTCCACCAGGCAGGCATCGCTCTGCAAGTCAAGCTCAATTTGGAGGTCACTTGGAGCATTGTCCACAACGTATGTGAAAGGAGAGGACAAAGCCATGCCCCCCCCCCACTGCTAAGCTATTGCCTGGCAGCTGCCGGGCAGGCACAAGCCCTTTGAATGGAGCAGTTAAAAAGGGCTCACGCCTGTGGGCAGCTCCCAGGCAGCTGGCCAGCAGGGCTGAGAGCTGTGAGCTCTTTTCAATTGCTTCTGTTCAAAGGGCTTGTGCCTTCCAGTGCCTGCCAGGCAATGCAGCCACCAACGGGCGAGCCCTTTAAATAGAAGCAGTTGAAAGGGCTCACATCTCTGGCTTCCTAACAGCTCATTAGAGGCGGGGGAGCTGAGAACGCTTAAGTGCTGGCACCTTCCTTGTACCTGTCAGGCAACCTATTGCCTAGAAGCCCAGGGGACACAAGAGCCCTTTAAATGGAAACAGCTCAAAGGACTGGCCCCTCGCAGCGCTGCCCCAGTGCATTGCCAGAGATGCTGGATCCCCTTTAAATGGAAACAGCTCAAAGGACTGGCCCCTCGCAGCGCTGCCCCAGTGCATTGCCAGAGATGCTGGATCCCCTTTAAATGGAAACAGCTCAAAGGACTGGCCCCTCGCAGCGCTGCCCCAGTGCATTGCCAGAGATGCTGGATCCCCTTTAAATGGAAACAGCTCAAAGGACTGGCCCCTCGCAGCGCTGCCCCAGTGCATTGCCAGAGATGCTGGATCCCCTTTAAATGGAAACAGCTCAAAGGACTGGCCCCTCGCAGCGCTGCCCCAGTGCATTGCCAGAGATGCTGGATCCCCTTTAAATGGAAACAGCTCAAAGGACTGGCCCCTCGCAGCGCTGCCCCAGTGCATTGCCAGAGATGCTGGATCCCCTTTAAATGGAAACAGCTCAAAGGACTGGCCCCTCGCAGCGCTGCCCCAGTGCATTGCCAGAGATGCTGGATCCCCTTTAAATGGAAACAGCTCAAAGGACTGGCCCCTCGCAGCGCTGCCCCAGTGCATTGCCAGAGATGCTGGATCCCCTTTAAATGGAAACAGCTCAAAGGACTGGCCCCTCGCAGCGCTGCCCCAGTGCATTGCCAGAGATGCTGGATCCCCTTTAAATGGAAACAGCTCAAAGGACTGGCCCCTCGCAGCGCTGCCCCAGTGCATTGCCAGAGATGCTGGATCCCCTTTAAATGGAAACAGCTCAAAGGACTGGCCCCTCGCAGCGCTGCCCCAGTGCATTGCCAGAGATGCTGGATCCCCTTTAAATGGAAACAGCTCAAAGGACTGGCCCCTCGCAGCGCTGCCCCAGTGCATTGCCAGAGATGCTGGATCCCCTTTAAATGGAAACAGCTCAAAGGACTGGCCCCTCGCAGCGCTGCCCCAGTGCATTGCCAGAGATGCTGGATCCCCTTTAAATGGAAACAGCTCAAAGGACTGGCCCCTCGCAGCGCTGCCCCAGTGCATTGCCAGAGATGCTGGATCCCCTTTAAATGGAAACAGCTCAAAGGACTGGCCCCTCGCAGCGCTGCCCCAGTGCATTGCCAGAGATGCAGGATCCCCTTTAAATAGAAACAGCTGAAAGGGATCTCAGTCTGGCAATGCACTAGATAGTGGGGAGCCGCGAGCCCTCTCAGCTGTTTCTGTTTAAAGGGCTGGTGCCTTCCCCAGAGCTTCTAGGCAACGCGTTGCCTGGCAGCCGGGGAAACAGGAGAGCCCTTTAAATAGAAACGGCTGAGAGGGCTCGTGGCTCCCCACCATCTCGTGTGTTGCCTGCGATCCCTTTGAGCTGTTTCTGTTTCAAGGGCTGGTGCCTTCCCTGCAGCTCCTAGGCAAGGTGCGGGAGACAGGAGCCCTTTAAATAGAGGCAGTTTGAAGAGCTCGCACCATCTCCTGGTCCAGGCAAGGAGCTAGGGGGCGGGGCCCGAAACTGCCTCAGGGGCGCCAAGAGGCTTTTGCCCATCCCTGCTGTAGGAGCTACTTTATCAGCAGCCATGCAAGAGCCCAGCACTGCCTTGATGCTTCCTGTCCTCCTCTCCTTGCCTCAGCACTTCTGAGTACAAAATTCCTCTGTTCTCTTGCAGAAGTGCATGTCCTCTTTGCAGAACGTGTTTTCAGTCCTCTCACTCCCTGCCATTTCTCCCTCAGTTAATTCACAAGATCATTGACCTGGGCTATGCTAAGGAGCTGGATCAGGGCAGTCTGTGCACATCCTTCGTTGGGACACTGCAGTACCTGGTAAGGAGCGGATTAAGCTTTCAGTGTTGGTGTGACCAGTAAGGTCTGGGGGACAGAGTGGCAGGAGGGAGCAGGCAGTGTGAGATGGCTGGGGGGTGGGAGAGGAGACCCAGCCATGCATGCAGGGATGTGTTTGGGATGCTCATACTGAAGCAAAAGACCAGGCTGTATTGTTGCTCTTTACCAGCATTGGGGTTTTCACTTTCTGTTGCATAGCGGGCGTGAGTGTCATTAACTCGTCAGACCGGGTCAAAGAGGCAGCAGGGTTCCCAAGGGATAGACTATTTAGCAGGATCTTTTCACAGTGATGCATGAACATTAATGAACATCCTAGGAAGCAGGTGCAGTTGATGTTCTGAAAGAAAAGGGGGTTAATCTTTAACCTCTGTTGACTAACTCAGGCGCCGGAGCTGCTGGAGCAGCAGAAGTACACGGTGACGGTGGATTACTGGAGCTTTGGCACACTGGCTTTTGAATGCATAACAGGTTTCAGACCATTTCTGCCTAATTGGCAGCCTGTGCAATGGTGAGTAACTGGGGGCCAGACCGAGAGGAGGAAATTGCTAGGCATCCAGACCACTGTCCTGGTTGAGAGAAGGGTGGGACGTAGTGGGGGGGCCTTGCTAGGGCTGTGTCACCTCTGCGGTCTGTAGCAAGACCCAGCAGGGAAGGGGGGAGTCATTATGCAAAGGTGGCTCCAAACTGGTCTGACCAGCCACCCCCCATGGGGAGAAACAAAGGAAGGTGGATGCTGCCCTGGCTGGGGGCAGGGCTGGAAGAGAGGGGGTTAGTTCCTGTCTGGAAAGCAGGGGAGAAGGAGCTAGGGAGGGGGCTGGGACTCCCCTATCTCAAGGGGGCACTGAGGCCTCTTAGCCCCAGTTCCTGTAACCAGATGACATCTGTGCTGTGCTGTGTCCTGGAGAGGCAATAAACTCCCCCCATTCTACTGCCTGGGGGAGTCTGTTCATGCCACGCCCCGACCCTCTGACTCCCGTTAGCCAGGCCTCTGGAGGTAACACGCTTGGGGCAAGATGGACACATGACCAGAAGCAAAAGGTGTCATGGCACCCCTCTGGAAGGACTTTTCCCACCATCCTCCTACCAACAGGGATTAGTTTGGCCCCCACCAACGCCCCCATGCAACTATCCTGCAGTTGCATTAACCCAACATGTGTGGCATTAACTCGGGGGCAGAGAGCTGGGGGAGTGTTCCCTCTACGGCTCTGTCTATGCTTGCGGCTTCTTGCGCAAGAACCCACACTGCCCGCCTGCGCTTGCGCAAGGAAATGTACAGTCCGGCGTGGGAAGAGAGGGCGTCTTGCACAAGAGCTCTGCTCTTTTCTAACAGGTGTGAGCTCTCTTGCACAAGAGGGCAGTGTGGACGCTCGGCAGGGATTTCTTACGCAAGAAACCCCTATGGCTAAAATGACCATCAGAGCTTTCTTGCTCAAGAGAGCGTCTACACTGCCATGGATGCTCTTGTGCAAAAGCACAGCTTGCACATGGCAGTGTGGACGTGTTCTTGCCCAAGACTTCTTGCACAAGAACCCTTGTGCAAGAAGCTGCAAGTGTAGACATAGCCTAAGAGTTTCCACCCATGAGCAGAATGAATGTTGTGTTGTGCACCAGTACTGAGCTCATGGGGCTTGTTTGGATGTGCCACTGTGGCACCCAAGTTATTAATAAATATTTTAGAAGCCTTTACCTTTTCTCTCTGCTGCCACATCTCCTTCCTTTGCTCCATCAGCTCCCCTGTTGCCTGCTGCCCCCCAACTCCTGCCTGCTGCCCCCCAACTCCTCACCCTCCTCTGCTGTCCTGACTCCTGCCCATCTCACTGCCCTCAGCCCTCCTGCGACCTGCCCCCCTCCATCAGCCCTTTTCTACCCCCTGTGCCCACTTCAATTGCCCCACTCTGATCACGTGAGCTGCTCCTCCTCATCCCCTCTTCTAACACCTCCCTCTACACACCTGCCCTGCCTCTCTCCTCTGGTGCTGGTCCCTCCCCGGCAGGTGTCTGCCCTTCTGCTTCACCCCCAGAATCCCTTCACCTGCACCTTCCCTTAGCCCTGCACCCTCCTAGTGCCTCCCCCTTCCCTTACTGCCCCTCATAGACTCATAGACTTTAAGGTCAGAAGGGACCATTATGATCATCTAGTCTGCCCCCCTGCACAGTGCAGGCCACAGAATCTCACCCACCCCTCCTAGAATAATCCTCTCACCTATGTCTCAGATATTGAAGCCTTCAAATACTTTGAAGGCCCTAACATGCAGAGAGTCCTCCAGCTGTGATCTGTGCCCAATGCTACAGAGGAAGGCAAAAAAACCTCCAGGGCCTCTGCCAATCTCCCCTGGAGGAAAATTCCTTCCCGACCCCAAATATGGCGATCAGCTAAACCCTGAGCATGTGGGCAAGACTCACCAGCCAGACACCCAGAAAGTTTCCTATAGCAACTCCTATCATCCCTCCATTGACCTATTTCCAACTGATAATGAATGGTCAATTAGTTACCAAGATCATGTTGTTTCATCCACCCATCCCCTTATCATAGAATCATAGAACTGGAAGAGACCCTAGAAGGTCGTCAAGTCCAGCCCCCCGCTCTAGGCAGGACCACTCCCATCTAAATCAACCCGGCCAGGGCTTTGTCAAGCCGAGACTTAAACACCTCTAGGGATGGAGACTCCACTACTTCCCTAGGGAACCCAGCCCAGCGCTTCACCACCCTCCTAGTGAAATAGTTTTTCCTAATATCCAACCTGGCCCTCTCCCACCACAACTTGAGCCCATTGCTCCTTGTTCTGCCATCTGTCACTACTGAGACCAGCCTCTCTCCATCCTCTTTGGAACCTCCCTTCAGGAAGTTGAAGGAGGCTCTCAAATCCCCCCTCACACTTCTCTTCTGCAGACTAGATAAGCCCAAGTCCCTCAGCCTCTTCTCATAAGTCATATGCTCCAGCCCCCTAATCATTTTGGTTGCCCTCCACTGGACCCTCTCCAATGCGTCCACATCCTTTTTGTAGTGGGGGGCCCAGAACTGGACACAATACTCCAGATGCGGCCTCACCAAAACCCCTACCCCCTTTGCCTTCTTTTTCCCTGATGCCCACCCCCTCACCAGTCTCTGCCCCCATTCTCCTCATGCCCCTCTGTGCCCTCACACATGACTTGCTCCATCCCCACCTCTCTCATGCCACCCCTTCTTTCAAGCCTTCTCCCAGCACCCTCCCTCTCCAGCCCCCAATGCTCTTACCCTCTCCTCTCCCAGCATCACCCTAAACCCCTCCCACTGACCCCTCCCCTCCTGCCCTTTTCCTCATTGTCTGCACTTGGCCCCCTGGCATTTGTCTCTCCTGCAGACTGTCCCTTGGTGCCTTCCCCTTTCTTTCCTCTCCCCCTTCCCCTCCGCACAAGCGCCTTCCTCTCCCCCTCCCACCGTCTGTCCCTCCGCACAAGCCCCTTCCTCTCCCCCTCCCACCGTCTGTCCCTCCGCACAAGCCCCTTCCTCTCCCCCTCCCACCGTCTGTCCCTCCGCACAAGCCCCTTCCTCTCCCCCTCCCACCGTCTGTCCCTCCGCACAAGCCCCTTCCTCTCCCCCTCCCACCGTCTGTCCCTCCGCACAAGCCCCTTCCTCTCCCCCTCCCACCCTCTGTCCCCTCCGCACAAGCCCCTTCCTCTCCCACTCCTTCCCCCTAGTTTTCCCCTGCCCTGCCCTGCCCTACCTTCCATTTTGTGGGGCCAGAGTCTGCGCTCCGGAGCTAGGCTGCACGGTGCAATGCAGCGCCGAGCAGTTTTAAAGTCCCGGGCCGTGACGTCATGTCACACCCAGGTGTCTCCCTGGTCACCTGGAAACACTGCGCATGGCGGCAGCAGCAGCCGGCAGCACGTGCCATCAAGGGGGAGCTGACTGAACACTGCACATGGGGGAAGAGACCCAGCTCCAAATATTGCTAGAGCAGGGCCCCCGGCTCTGAATATTGGCGGAGCACAGGCTCCACGAGCCCATATAACTCGCCGCCCATGGTTGCAGATGAGACAGATTCTGTCAGCTTATTTTGAGTAGCATCTCTGTGTTGGGAACTAGCCCAGAGGAGGCTCATGTGCGTCTTAGGAAGGAAGAGATGCAGTTTCGATCGTGCAGAGAGATGGCAGAATGTTCTCTTCTTTGTCGCTGTCCCTGCTTGAACTCTTAGGCACACCAAAGTGCGGCAGAAGAGTGAGAAGGATATTGTTGTCTATGAAGACTTGGCCGGAGAAGTGAAATTTTCCAGCAGTTTACCATACCCTAATAATCTAAACAGGTGAGGAATCCAACCCAAATGCACCTGTGGGGATAATTGGGACCAGGAAGGGGTCAGTTTTTATTGCCATGCTGGTCTGGTGAACTGTAGTGCCCAATGCACATGATATCATCGGGCTGAAGTTTCCATAGATGAGAACAGGAGCATTCTGTTAGCTGGCTGGAGAAGGGGCCATGTTCCTGTCTCTAATCTCCAGTTCAGGAATTAGGGGGGGAGGTCTGAACTTTGGCTCTTTTTGAAGATGCCAATTGAAACGTATCTTTCAATTCTGTCCTCCTTGTTTCGGCTCCCCTAGCATTTTGGCTGGGCAGCTGGAGAAATGGCTGCAGCTCATGTTAATGTGGCACCCGCGGAAGAGAGGGACAGACCCTGTGTATGGACCTAATGGCTGTTTCAAAGCACTGGACGATATACTGAACCTAAAGGTGAGTTTTGGGACTGGGTTTCTGTGACCAAATCAGTGTCCAGAGAGAGCAGCTTTTGTTAGCTTGTAAGAGAAACCTGAGTCTTGGGGCTAGGGAAGGGTGTGAGGAAATCCCATTAAGACTGGGGAAGCTGGTTTGTCAGAAGGATAAGCCCTGGTCTGAGCAAATGTATCAGCAAGACTAAGTTTCTTCTTACAGCCTGGTACTAATCATACTTAACTCTTATCCAGTATTTTCCATCTGTTGATCTCGGGGAACTTTCAGAGGCGCTCAGTATTCTGCCCAAATGCAGAGCTGATCTGCGGGGTGTGGAGTTGCAAAGCAGTCTTGTAGAGCAAAGAATTATGGCACAAAGATGGAGGGGTCCTAAGCTGGGAAGCTCCTTTGGTACTGGTCTTTGCTGTTGTGGGATAGTGTGGATGGTTTATATGGGTGCTCTGATGACTGCTGTGCAGCAGAATGACTGTGGAGTTTAGTCCTTCTGCTGACTTCAGAAATGCAGGACTGGAAGAGACTTCAAGAAATTGTCAAGTCTGTCTGGGTATGCGAAGTTGCAAATGAAGCCCAGGATTTAAATATCCCAGGCTTCATTTGCATCTTGCCGGGCGCCGACATTTTTAAAGCCCCGGTAGTTCGGACTCCGGGCCCGCGGCTACACGCGGCACAGAGTAGGTAGTTCGAATTAGGCTCCAATTCGAACTACCGGTACACCTCGTTCCACGTTTAAATCCTGGGCTTCATTTGCAACTTCGAATGCCTACATTACCCACCCTAGTTCGAACTAGGGGGTAGTGTAGACAGACCCTCTCTGTGCTGAGGCAGGACCAAGCAAACTTAGACCTCCCTGACAGACGTATGTCCAACCTGATCTTAAAAACCTCTCTTGAAGGGGAATCCACAGCCTTCCCTGTAAGCCAGAGTTTAACTCCTGAGAGTTAGGACATTTTCCTAATATCCAGCGTCAGTATCCCCTGGCTACAGACAAGACCATTGTTACTTGTACTACCGTTAGTGCACTTGGAGAATAATTGATCAACGTTCTCTTTATAACAAACAGCTCTTCACACATTTGAAGTCTGTATCAAGTTGCCCCTCAGATTAAACAGCCTCAGTTTTTTAACCTCTCCACATAGCTGTGTTCCCTGTACGTTGGGTGCTTGTGTGGCTGCTCAGGAGAAATACAGATGCCGTCCAATTGATAATCAGAGTGCCCACAGCTAAGTTTTTTGTTTCTATTGGTGGTGCATATGACACACCCCTGTACACATTAACATTATTCCACACCTGAATGGAAAAAAAGCCGCACATGGAAGGAAAAGATTAGAGGGAACATTGCCACATAGGTCAGATTTGCTAGATTTTGTGTCTTTTGTTGCTCTCCTGGATTTTTTCCAATTTGTCCATAACTGGAAGCCAGAACTGGACTCGGCACTCCAGCTGAGACCGTATCAGTGCCAAGTAGACCAGGACAGTTACCCTGACACTCCTGTTAGTATAGTCCAGAGTGACAGTAACCTTTTTTGTGACATCGTTGATTGATATGTAAATTATGACCTACTATAATTCCCAAGTTGTCTTCAGCAGTGTTACGATCTTACCAGATATTCTCTATTTTGTAGCTGTCATTTTTTTCCCAAGGGAAGTATTTGAGCTTCTCTATTGAATTTCACATTTTTCAGACTAGTTCTCTAATTTGTAAAGGCAGTTTTGATTTCTAATCCTGTCCTTGGAAGTGCTTATAACCCCTACATCGTGTAAGCCTGTGGCCCACTCCAGTATCCAAGTAAAATATTGAACAGTACTGGCCTCAAGATTGGCCCCTGCAGTGCGAACCCACTAGGTATGACCTCCCAATTTGACAGTAAGCCACTGGTAACTACTTTTCAATATGGTCTTTCAAATACTGATAGTTACCTGATAGTAACTTCATCTGAACCACATTTCCTTAGTGAAGATTTGAAGTAACAGACATTAAATACTTCAGCCTTCTTGTTGTCATCAGTTGTTAGCTTTCCTTATCCCCTAAGTAGAGACTCTACACTGTCCATCTTTTTTTTGCTTCTAATGGGGAACTAGTTGTAACTCTGATTTTGTTCCGACATGCTTGTTTATTCTTTTGCATTCCTTAGTTAGCAGTTTGTCCATGGTTCCATTTTTTAATAATATTCCTTTTTTTATTTCAGGTCATTTAACAGCACCTGACAGAGATCTATTGGCCTCTTTAATAGTCCTCATCTTTCTTTCATATCAGAATAGTTTGAAATTATGCATTTGAGAAATTTGCCAGTTCTCCTGAATTTGTTAAACCCTCAGATTTTCTTCCCATGGAACTTTAGCTTGCCAGTTCTGAGTTAGTTAAAGTGTTTTTGAAGCCATAAGATGACCTAGATTTACTGGAGGCTGAAAGATCATCACTTGGTAACAATCCAAGGAAAAGTCCTTGGGAAAACAATTGCGGGAGAATTTAGCAATGGTTTATGTGGAACGGGGTGTGTTGGACATGGGGAAAGACCAGCTGAGGAGACCTTTTCTGTCTGTTATTCCACGGAGAGTCTGTGCCGGTCTTGCTCTGGCTGAAGGAAGGGGAGTTGCTGTCCCTTGTGTCACATAGCCTCCCTTCAAAGGTTTTGGCATGCTGTTTCCAAGCAGCCCTGTGATGGCCATCTGGACCTGGTGTTCCCCGTTTCCTTCTCCATCACCTGGTCTTCGTCCTGGCATCTCTGCTCAGCCATGATCTCCATGCTCTGGCTTCTTCATATTCCTTTTCTTGCAGCTGGTTCGTGTCCTAAACATGGTCACAGGCACTTTGCACTTGTACCCTGTGACGGAAGAGGAAACCTTGCAGTCGGTGAAGGCCAGGATTCAGACAGACACTGCTATTCCGGAGCAGGACCAGGAGCTGTTGCAGGAGGCGGGACTGGCACTGTGCCCTCAGAAATTGGCTCTTCAGTGTATAACTGACAGCAAGGTGAGCCTGGCACTGGAACCTAAGCAATGCTAGCCAAGCCTGAACCTGCTGGCATTTGCTTCCCTTGTATTCACTGAAGCAGCGCAACCTTCCCTCCTGCTGCTCACTCTGTGTCGGGTCGTGGCCAACCAGCGGGCTCTGCCCTCTTGTCAAGGATGGCTGCCTCTGGGCTCTTTCACTGGAGGTTGCTGTGGGATGCTGTGTGAGAGGACTGAGCTGGGTCTCCTCTTTGCAGGTGAATGAGGCCACTGCCACGGACACAGACATCCTCTTCCTTTTTGACAACCGTAAAGTTGCCTATGAGAGGCAGATCTTCCTGCGGCCTCATCCAGAAAGTGTTGACTGCATCCGTAAGGACTTCCATGGGGCATGGGTTATTCCAAGGGAAACGGTGTGGAAGCTTTCTGGATACATGAGCTGTAGGGGGTGGAGATCTGCTCTTGAGAACGGAGTGCGCAGCAAAGCAGATTGACACAGCATTCAGTCTCAGGTGGGATTTAACTGAGGTAAAGCAGAATCTGTCATGACTCAAACTGTGGCCAGCTGCAGTGGACTAGCCTTTCTAACCCTAGATAGGATATGATGGACATGAAGACTTGGCTGGGCAGGCTGAAGAGGAGATGGCACCGTATCGCAGACTGGGATTGGGTGCTCACTCCTACCTTGCTTTCTTTTAACATCATGCTCTCTCTTTCCAGTTCAAGATCCAAAGAAGAATCTGTCCTTCTTCCAGCTGCGGAAGGTGTGGGGTCAGGTCTGGCACACAATTCGGACGCTGAAGGAGGACTGTAACCAGCTTCAGCAGGGGCAGCGAGCAGCCATGTACAGTGGGGTCCCTTTGAGAATACGTAGCTACACTTTGGCCTCCTAGCTAGAGAGAGATAGTAGGAAAAGAAACCTGCCCCATGGTGGTGCAGAAGTGAGACACTACCTGGGAGGGGGAAATTACAAAGGTGGAGTTATTTGCGATTCATGGAGAGCTAAGAGCTGTGGCCTCTAACCCTGTTGGTTTTGTGCTTCCTCCACTGCAGTCAGACCTGTTCATTTCTTTTGGTGACATAGGAGTAGTGGGCTGAGCGAGGGCCAGCTAGAGGACACTGCGGTCTCTAAGCTTGAATGAGTGGCTCTGAAACCTGAATGTGGGATCAGTTGGGACACTATGTGCAGCTCCTATGGGACTGGCCCAATGTTCCCTCTAATCATTTCCATCCATGTGCAGAATGAATTTTTCTCTGTGCACCGAGGCATGTAAGAATGTGCACCACCAAGAAAAACAAAAGCCTACCTGTGGGTGCTCTGATAATTAGCTGGATGACATTTGAGTCTCATGAGCAGCCACCCACGCACTCAGCTTCCAGGGAACACTGGGCTGGACCCACATGACCCTTCTTTCTCCACAGGATGAATCTGCTGCGTTATAATAGCAATCTCTCCAAGATGAAGAATTCCATGGCCTCCCTGTCCCAACAGCTGAAGGCAAAGCTGGATTTCTTTAAAACCAGCATCCAGATTGACCTGGAGAAGTACAGTGAGCAGATCGAGTTTGGAATCAGTGAGTCCAGCCCCTGTGACATGCATGAGAGTCCTCCATCTGCTCCCCAAATCCCTGCTCCCTTTCCTCACCTGCAGCACAGAAGTAATGGACATTTCTTCCTTGTGTTTTTCAGCCTCTGAAAAGCTGTTGTTGGCCTGGAGGGAGATGGAGCAGGCTGTGGAACTTTGCGGGCGGGTATCTAGACTTAGGTTTAATTGCTTGCCTGGAAGAAGAGGCTTTCTGCTGCTGCCATGCATGTTTCCATCTTTCACTCCCTGGCTAGACTGGTGTGATACATGAAGCCTTTCTCTTGTTTTAGTTTGTATCAGTTTTTCCTTGTCCACTGGCCTTGTGTCAGGGGTGCACGCCCCCAGTGTGCCTCAGTGCCCCCTGACTGTCTTCATATAGCCCCTCTCAGGGCAAGTTACAGTCTGTATGGGTTGCTCATCATCGGCCACAAAGCAGTTTATAACTGGCCCTTTAAGCAAGGCCAAGTCCACAAAACAGATTATCGTTGTAGCGGGGCACACCCCAGGTAGGGGGACCCGGGCCCACCCTACTCCACCGGGTCCCAGCCCAGGGCCCTGTGAGCAACCGGGTATCGGGTCACTCCCTCAGTGTGGCCATCCAGCCGAAACGCACCGAGGCTCTCGGGCTAGCTCCCGCTCCTGCCCTGGGCCACTTCCTACCTGGATCCCCGGGCTTCCTTCCCCTGGACTTGCCCAGCTGGCTGCAATCTCCAGGCCAGCATCCCCTCGGCAGGTAGTCTCCGGGTGGCACCAACTCGCCTCCGCCTTCCTCCCGGCCTCTCCGGCAACCGCTGAGGGAGAGCTCTCCGCTCCAGCCTTTCTCCTTCGGCTGTCTCCCTCCAAGGAGCTCCTACCTCCTCTGCAGTCAGCCCTACACTGGCTCCCACCCCAGCAAATTGGGCTTCTCCCTTTATAGCTGACTGCTGGGCTTGCCTAGCCACCCGGGCTTCCCAGATCTCTGACAGCTGGGGCTCATTAGCCTACCCCTTTCAGCTGGGTTCTTCCAGCCACCCTAAGGCTCAAGGCCTGAGCCTTGGGCTTAAAGGCCCAGTGCAGGGCAGGCGCCCTGTCACACCTTGGCAGCTCATTATGTGTTGGGAAGAAAGACGTGGGGAAGATTCCTAATGCATAAACCAAGGTTACAGACAGTTATAGACAAAAGCAATTGTAGTGTTGCCCAAGGGGGCAGTTGCTGGGCTAATGACAAGAGGATGTGGTTCACCAAAGGTTAAAACTGAAAAGGAAAGTGGCTGGCAGTGCTCAGAGTCTGCAGCAATGGAAGTGTGGTGCATTCTGAAAGTGCTCAGTGTGTGCTCGCTCTGCTGCCAAATCCTGCCACTGCGACAGGCTAACCTGAGATGGCCTCCGAATTATTAGTATGTCAGCTTCTGATAACTATGCTGTCTCTCTGAGCAGAACCCCACTTAGGGGTCTGCCTAAGTATGGGTCAGTGATCCTATTCCTGGCATGCGTATGTCCCAGGCTAAGATAGACATTGGGTGGTAGGACTGATATCTGAGAGTTAAGGGTGGTGGTGGGCAGAGCCCTGCGTGGATACAAAATTTATATTCCACATCTGCATCTATATCCGTGGATAGAAAGCAGATATTGACAAATCTGCAGAGTTGTAGATACAATTTTACATCCATGTCTGCATCTGTATCCACAAAAATGAGTCTCAGATATCTGCATCCATATCTGCGCATTTGCAGGGTTCTAGTAGCAGATAAGGTGAGAATTACAATAGTCCTTTGGAGCAACTGAGAGGAGTATTTCCCTTTTGTCACTAGCTGCAGGTATGTGAACAAACAGCATCTCTTCACCACAAGCAGCGTTACGGTATTGAAAGCAGCAGGGTCATTAGGAGGGAGCCAGTTTGAAAAGACCAAATCTACTTGTTCCAAAAGGGAACTATCCCCCTCAGTCTTTGCACAAGGCCCTTATTTTCTGCTTCTTGTCTTTCTAAGGGTGCAGGATTGTGGATGGAAAGGGACAGCAGTTCCTGTTCCATTTAAGGCCAGTGAGAGGCAGAGTCCCTCAGCCCATGGCTGGCCTATGTCTGGGGATGCTATTAACTGATGCTCCTTCTCTCAGGAGGAGGATGTGGACCAGCTGGTGAAGAGTATGATGGCCCTGCAGGCAGACATTGTGGATCTGCAGAGAAGCCCACTAGGGCGGAAGCAAGGGGGAACCCTGGAGGATTTGTAAGTTGGAACCCTCTTTGGCCTGCGGTGCTAGCATGTCTAGCATTGTGGTTGCTCTGCAGGCAAGCAGAGGCAGGTGCTTGGTGGCCTAGACCACAAACTGGGTTGGCAAGACCTCACAAAAAGTCTGCAGTGGGTTGCTTCCATGACCATCTGTCTGGTGGCTGTGTCGTCAGGTAGGCAAAGAGTTTGTGAGAGGCTTTCAAAGGGACAATTACAATTTGGGGTCTAGAGAAACACTTCTGCCTTTTGTTTTGTAGGGAAGAACAAGCCAGAGAACTTTACCGGCGACTCAGGGAGAAGCCAAGAGGTAAAAAAACTGGAGTTACAGTTGTCTTGCTGCTCTGAGAAGACCACTAACTGGAAAGAACAATAAATAGCACTGAGCATTCCCCATTGCAGACCTGTGGCCCATACTCCAACAACAGATGGTGTGTCTCCTCTTCCAGTTCCAAAAGAGCACTGCTCCCCCTACTCCAGTCATGGCTGGCTAGGGAGGGGTGGTACTTCCAAGCAGGGAGGCCAGTTTTGCTCACTTACTCAATTGCTCCTAGCAGCTGGGTGCCTTTTCAGGATGAAACCATTTGGTGCCCTTCTCCACAAACTGCTGCTGGAAGACATGACTAATGCTCAGCCCCTTCCTCCTTATGGCCACAGCCCACTACCAGGACAGTGCTACGGCAACCATGACTGATTCTCGTGGTCTCACTGAGCTCACTCTCTGCCCTCACATGATCCTTGTTCATCTCTCTAGATCAGAGGACCAGTGGTGACAGTCAGGAAATAGTGCGACTGCTCCTTCAGGCAATCCAGATGTTTGAAAAGACTGTCCGTCTCATTTATGCTCAGCTCAGGTGAGTGTCCCAGTCCACCAATCCTGCGGAAGTTGGACAAGGAATATCTGGGCAAGCCTTGATGTTGCTCTTGGTACAATGAGGAGATATTAGTCTCTCGCTAAGATGCATGTAGACAAATTCACAGATTAAGAATCATTGTTCCCCAATTAGGAGTTAATTAGTTGGAGTTTCTAACTGAACACAGTGCAGCTGCTCATTGTTCTTTACAGTAAGACAGTTATTTGCAAGCAGAAGGCACTGGAATTGTTCCCCAGAGTGGAGGGAGTGATGAACCTGATGAATGAAGATGAGAACACAGTTGTCAGGCTTCAGGAAAAGCGACAGAAAGAATTATGGAACCTGCTGAAAATTGCTTGTGTGAGTGAACCAGAAATTAACGTGTCCTGTTAAACCAGAATTTTTCCTTTTTGATGGGAGAGTCTTGAACGTAGCTGCAGTTCATCCAAGAGCTTGCACTGCCTTTCGAACCCCTCTTTGAAGTGCTGTGGGCTGAAGGTATTTCAGCACCTGGGTTGGGAATTTCACAGAGAACCCCCCTGTGACGGCGCGATGGGGTTCCCCCGTCTCCTGCACCCCGAAATGGCACAAACAGACTGCACCAGCTGGTGTAATGGAGGTTGTTTATTGCCTCTCCAGGATACAGCACAGCACAGATGTAATCTGGTCACAGAGCTGGGCTAGGATGCCTCAGGCCCCCTTGAGATGGGGGAGACTGGGCCCCTAAACTCCAGTCCCTTTCCCTAGCCTGTCTTCTCCATGCTCCCAGACAGCCAGCAACTAACTAACTCCCTTCCAGCCCTGCCCCCCAGCCAGGGCAGCATCCACCTTCCTTTGTTCCTCTCCATGGGGGGTGTCTGGTTCAACAAGTTTGGCATCACCTTTGCATAGTGAGGTTTTCCCTGCTGGGTCTTGCTCCAGACAGCAGAGGTCACCACAGCCCAGCAAGTACCCCCACTACGTCACACCAGCCAACACAATTATGCTTTTATTCTTTTTCAGAGCATTTCTGACTAAACGGTGTAAGTGTGTGTGTGTGGTCCTTTGAATTGCCATGGGAAACTGTAGTTCAATATTCTGCAACTCTAGTGAGACACCACCATACAGCGCTAAAGGCAGCACCCAGAAAAATGCTGCACAAACACTGACCAGAAGCCTGAGATCATCTCTCTTCTGATAAAGGAACATGAAGTAAAAACTTGATGTCCTTGCCTCCCTCTGTTGAATGTGGTTTAAAAATCTAGGCCTAGTTTAGGAGTAAAGCAAACTCTAACCTCTTTTCTGCCATAAATACTCAACAGAAATGGCAGCATTTGCTCATGGACATAAGTTTATGCAGAAAAAAATGCATGTAGCAATCTGAATCTGTTTTGTCCTTTCAGAGTAAGGTGCGTGGTCCTGTCAGTGGCAGTCCAGAGAGTATGAATGCATCACGGCTTAGTAACCCAGGTCAGCTGCTGTCACAAGTCCCTGCCATAACTTACAATTTACCAGAATGTATCAAGAAAAGGTAAAGTGAAGAATGACGGAGTTATCACACATTGTTTTTTTATGGTTACAGTCAATACCTAAGATTACCGTTAGCTGAAGGGATCTAAGATTATTTAAGCATATCTACAGTAGAGTTGAAAGCTGCAAGTTCCAGTGGAAGGAGACATAGGCATTACTTCTAGGGAAATTCTGGGCCAAAAGATCAAAAATTCTGCACAACACTGCATATTGTATGTCAAAATAATCACACCAATTTCAATTATTTCTGGTTATTTATTTCAAAATACTGGTCAATGAGTATGCCTGTAACAATACAGACAACAAAAAAAAGTCAGAAAATGTTTTTTGATTATAGATTGCTTACTGGGCATATTAACACAGAACTCTGAGTACTAGTTCATTTAGCCTACAATACAGACCCATGTTTCCAATGCCTTCCAGAAGCAGTGCAAAGGCTGGGGCAAATAAGGGTTAATGGAGGAGCTGAGGAAGAGGGAAATAATTGCTGTGAAGGAGCCTGGGTGTGAACTGGGTAGATAGAGGTGGGTAAAGCAAGGATCAGGCTTGGGGTTTTTGGTGGTGGTGATGGTGGAAAGGCGCATCAACCATGCAGATCCTGACTGATGTGTAGGGGTTCCCATTCTGTCAGGCACAGTCCTTCCACCGCCACTCAAGACACCCACTCCCCTGTGGTCCTTCCATTCAGCCCCTGCTCTGGCCTTGTCCGACTTTCCTAGCACTGCATGCTGTTCAATCTCCCCTGCCCTGGCCAGACAGGTGTAGTCAAGAGGGCTCTGCACACACTCTTAGCTGGGTGAGAGCTGTGGCTGTTATCATCACAGTGCCCCCTGGTGGGAAAAAGGCAGAACTACAGCAACTTTTCAGCAGAAGCTTTCAATGTAAACAATTAGAACTAGACTGGGCCCATTAGTTATACACACCTGTGGTGGAGCAGAATTCTCCCAGCAGTAATACATGGTAGCTGCCCAGAGTAGGAGCCTGTTTGAAACACAAGGTACATACAGTCTGTGGCTAACCCCTCCAGTTGGGCTCTCAAATGCAAAGTGTGCCACTTGGAAGGAACAATCAGTTTCACACCTACAAAGTGATTGTCTAGGAAGGAGTAGTGCAGAAAGGAATCTTGTGGTGGACCACAAGTTAAACAGTGTGACTCTGTTGCCCCCCCCCCAAAAAAAAAAAAAAAAAAAAAAGCAAACATGATTCTGGGAGGCATTACCAGGAGTATTCTGAGCAAGACACACGGGCTATGTCTAGACTGGCCAGTTTTTCCCGAAAAACAGCCGCTTTTCTCGAAAAACTTGCCAACTGTCTACACTGGCCGCTTGAATTTCCACAGAAGCGCTGACTTCCTACTGTAAGAAATGAGTGCTTTTTGCAGAAATACTATGCTGCTCCCGTTCGGGCAAAAGTCCCTTTTCACAAAACTTTTGAGCAAAAGGGCCAGTATAGACAGCTGAGATTTGTTTTCTGCAAAAAATGGCGAAAATGGCAATCGGGGCTTTTTTGCAGAAAAGTGCATCTAGATTGGCCACGGATCTAGATTTGGCCATTGGCTTTTTTGCAGAAAAGCATCCGTGCCAATCTAGACGCTCTGTTCTGAAAATGCTTTTAACGGAAAACTTTTCCATTAAAAGCATTTCCGGAAAATCATGCCAGTCTAGACGTAGCCACGAAGTAATTCTTCTGCGCTACTCTGCGCTAATTAGGCCCCAATTGGGAGTATTATGTCCAGTTCTGGGCACCACAGTTCAAGAAAGAAGTGGAAGAATTGGAAAAGGACCAAAGATCAACAAAAACGATTAAACCTGCCCTAGTATGGAAGACTAAAAGAACTGCGCTTGTTTAGTTTAGCAAAGACAAGACAGAAGGGGTGTGATAGCAGTTTTGAAGTATTTAAAAGGATGTTACGAAGAGGAGGGAGAAAAATGTTTCTCCTTGGTCTCTGATGATAGGACAAGAAGCAGTATGCTTAAATTGCAAAAAGGGAGGTTTAGTTTAGACATAAGGAAAAACTTCCTGTCAGGGGGTTTAAACACTGGAGCAAATTGCATAGGGAGGTTGTGGAATCTCCATCACTGCGGATATTTAAGAACAGGTTGGATAGACATCTGTCAGGGATGAGCTACGCAGTGTTTGGTCCTGCTGTGAGGGCAGGGGCCTGGACTCGATGATCTCTCGAAGTCCCTTCCAGTTCTATGATTCTTGAACCTGCTACATTGTTTTAATGTAGAGAGAACACAGCCATGGCTCCTTAAGCAGGATTTTACATCTTCCAGCACCACTATAGATGTTCATTGCCTGCGTAGTAGGTTTCTGTGTCAACAACTGAGAACTTCGATATTACTGTGAACCCACAAAGTGGCAGGGCTGAACCTCAAACAGTATCACTTGGAAGCACAATAGCAGTGGGAATTAGCACATTCACCCACAAATCAAAGAACTGCAACATTCAGCTCTGGTATTTACAGAAGTAAAATTGAACCAATTCCTGCTTTGTTAATTAAAAATCTAATAGCCTGGTCAGCAATTCAGAGCCAGGCTTATTTTGCCCTAGAGTAAGTGTCTAGTTTTGATTTCTGGATTCTTACTCGCTGGCCGTTAGTGACATGGTGTACGCTAATTAGTGTCTGATACAAACGTTATACCATCATGACTGCATTTTCTAGGCCATTTTGCCAGTGACTCTTAAGGTGCAGTCATAACACTGGCTATGTCTACACTGGCAGCTTCTTGCAGAAGAACAGCTGTTCTTCTGCAAAAACTTGCCAGCTGTCTACACTGCACGAGCGTTCTTCCAGAAGTAAATTTACAGTATAGCGTTGTAAAACAGGGCTTCTTCCAGAAGTTATTTCTCTCCCCACAAGGAATAAGCCCTCTTGTGCAAGAGTTCTTCCAGAAGAGGGCAGTGTAGACAGGCAATATGAATTTCTTGTGCAAGAAGCCCCTATGGTTAAAATGGCCACCAGAGCTTTCTTGCGGAAGACAGCGTCTACACTGCCATGGATGCTCTTGTGCAAAAGCACGTGGCAGTGTAGGTGCTCTCTTGTGGAAGAGATTTTGCACAAGAACTCTTCCACAAAAGAGTTCTTGCACAAGAATCTGCCAATGTAGGCATAGCCTTATAGTTTCTATAAGTGGGACAGTGGCAGCATACACAAGATGACATTTTGGTAAAATAAATATTTGCCACCAAAGTTCAGTGTTTGCTGCTGGCCACCACTGTACATATCAGTGGTGTTGTGTGTTGGGAAAAGCAGCTCAATGTGAGGCTGGTACCTCTAACACAGGGGTGAGCAGACTAGCCTCTATGGGCCTGATTTAGCCCTTCAAGCTACTTGAGCTGGCCTGTGGCTACCCTGCTGCTCCCCAACTCCAAGCCAATCAAGACTTGGGGACAGGGGAGTGTGTGAAATCTCCTCCCCCCACCAGGGGCACATGGTACCTAGAGCAAACAACCAGCTGTTCAGAACAGCTGCTGGTTATCTCTAGGGGTAGGGGCAAAGACTTCACATGCTACCCCCTCCCTCCCCCCAACTAGGCCGATCAGGGTCTGTGGGGGAGGCACAGGAAAGCTATGTCTACATTGGCAAGATTTTGTGCAAAAGCACGTGCTTTTGTGCAAAAACTTGCCAACTGTCTACACTGGCTGTGAGTTCTTGTGCAAGAACACTGCCGTTCTAATGTAAGAAATCAGTGCTTCTTGCACAAGAACTATGACGCTCCTGCTCAGGAATAAGCCCTCTTGTGCAAGTGTTCTTGCGCAAGAGGCCAGTGGAGACAGGCAACATGAATTTCTTGCGCAAGAAAGCCCGATGGCTAAAATGGCCATCGGAGCTTTCTTGCACAAGAGAACGTCTACCCTGGCACAGACGCTTTTGCACAAAAGCACATGCCAGTGTAGACGCTCTCTTGTGCAAATATTTTAACGCAAAAGCTCTTGCGTTAAAAGTATTTGCGCAAAATCTTGCCAATGTAGATGTAGCTGAAGCGTCCTGGCCTTCCCCCCCCCCGCCTGAGGTCCCATCCCTTCCAGGGCAGACCAGAACCATTTCAAAAATGCATGAAGTGGTTCCCCACTTCTGATGATAGTACAAGAAGCAATGGACTTAAACTACAGCAAGGAAGATTAGGTTGGACATTAACCACCCCGACAGTAAGGAAGGTTTTCCTAAACACTGGAATAAATTGCCCAGGGTGGTTGTGGAGTCTCCAGCACTAGAGATATTTAAGAGCAGGTTAGACAGACATCTGTCAGGGATGATCTAGACTGTGCTTGGTCCTGCCATGAGGGCAGGGGCCTGGACTTGAGGATCTCCCTTTCCAGTTCTAGTATTCTATGATTCTAAAATTATTGCCCACACCTGCTCTAACACTTGAGAGACTGCCAGGTTCAATGAATGTAATCATTTGTGCAACTTTTGTTTTTAGTGAGGAAGTACTGATGGAAGCACACACTCTCTGCAGCCAGTTAGACAGTGTAATGCAGGACACAATGAAGGATCAGGATCAAAGCTTTATGGTAACAATTTCTGTCACTTTAAATGATAAGCATTGTCTGAGAGGCTTGCAGCCAAAGAGCTGTAAGAAGTTTTGGATACAACACTCTGTATGCACTAACTGAAATAGCAGAGGAGAGAGAAAGAGACCTCTCATTTAAGTAGTGTTTAACTTGGCTTTTTACTACACTTTAAATGCTCAAAATAATGTACATATAGCATTTTCTTCTAAGAAAATCCAGTTTGCTTTGGATTGGGAAGATGGCACCTAAACTAATCCGTGTTTGTTTCATTTCTAGGCTCTGGATTGGAGTTGGCTATAGCTTGAAGGGGAAGACAGAAATAACCCAGAACAAACAGATGTAAAAATCACTTCAGTCACAGCTTGAGCCAGATAAACTCCTTTAAAAAGGAACTTAAGCACAAGTCTACTGCACATGAAACTGAAATCCTGTGTGCTCTATTTATACTGCCATCTGATGGTTACACTGTGACATGCATTCCTATTTTTAAGGGAAGCTGGCAGCCTAATCTTAATGAATAGAAGAAAACTTAGTGATCTAATTGCTGTTTTCCCCACAAATATACAGTATGAGGAGATTAAAATGTAAAGATGATTTGGGTCACAATGCTTGGGAAGGTGCCAATCTTCCACCACTTCCATCCAGCTGCTGAATCCACCTGCTGTGCTACTTTTCCCTTGCAGAAAATCCAACTCCTTACCAAATAGTGGACACAGTCTACAAGAATTCTTGTCTTGAACCCCCTTTCCTGAATTATGAAAAAGCACTGAATTCACTGATTTGGCTAAACAATGCTGGTTGCACTTTCAAGTGTAACATCTGTACCAAATACTTGTTTCCTGTATGGGAACGAACTATCTGAAATATGTAAACTTTTGGTTTGCTCTATTTGAATGTTAAATAAAATTTTAAAGGAGAAATATTTTTCAGTATGCAAGTATTGAGAGTTAGGCCAATATCCCTGTCTTTGTGTCAAGTCCCTTAAATAGTGAATAAAAACCACATCACTTATTCATCCTTCCTGAATCTTTACTGTTGCATGGGTTTCAATTTTGTCCCTGGAAACCAGCATCAAGCATGTTTTGAAAAAGATTACCTGTTTTAGTTGCATTTTATACATTTCATGCCAAATAATGGTACTGAAGCAGCAACTGGAACACACAGAAGGGCTATGTTCCAAATGTGATTAGTTTATTTCACTCTGATGGAAAACCAAAGCTTTTACTACTGCACAGAGACCAATTGCATAAGAGGTCATTGGGTGTAGGGCATGCAGGATGTGATGTGCTACCTGGGAGGGCTGGGATTTTTTTCCTCTGTAAGGAACTGCTAGTAACACTGAGGAACTGAAATGTGGCACAACCATTACAACTTCCATACATGCCTTCAAGTATCTCCCTTTGTGATACGTTTACACCCTATAGCTTTTTTTTGGGCGGGGGGAAGGGAGGGAGAGAAGGCTTACAATTCTTTGGAAGAATAAAAAGTTCACACTTTTGAAGTTTCACAGAAGAATTTTAAGGCCAAAACATGTTGGGTTTTTTTTCTCCTTCATCTCCTGAAACAGAGCTGCTGTTCCACTTAAAACTGCATTAAGCCTCCAACTCAAAGCCCAGCCCAACCTTGTGGCCACCGGCACTGAAGTTCTTGCCATCAACCAAACCTGAGAGTGTCAGCTTCACACCTGTGAAAACAAAACAGTATTTGATACTAATACCGGCACAAAACTCAGTTGAATACATGCTATACCAAAAGTAAAGGCTTTGGGCATGTAGTAACACATCTTTTTTGCTACAGTGCCTCAACCTTCACCTGCAGTCTGAGTTAGGCAAGGACTGAAGAGTCTCATTTTAGGTACCCCCTGTATACATATGTATTACACACACCCCAAAGTGACTTGCACAGGTGAAAGAACAATTCCATTTAGACTTCTAATCCTTTTGCTTCCTTACTGGATGTCACCAATAGCTCAGGTGAAAAGATTCTTTTCCATTAAGCCCTGTAATATTTGGTCATGGCTTACGTACCAGGTCGAAGGGTCTGAGTGTAACCAATTCCAATCAGGCTGGCATTATTCACTTTAGCCTAGAGGTAGACACAACAAAAGTACAGGTAAAAAAACCTCAGCATCTACTTTTATAGGTAGGCAGGCACAATAACTTTTCATAAGAATGGCCATAGCGGGTCACTCCAAAGGTCGATCTAGCTCAGCATCCTGTCTTTAACAGTAGCCAATACCAGATGCCACTGGAGTGAACAGAACAGGGAATCTTCAAGCAAGGCCTCTCCGGTCACCCATTCCCAGCCTCTGTCAGAAACCAGGGACACCATTCCTACCCAACCTGGATAATAGCCTTCGATGGACCTAACCTCCATGAATTTATCTAGTTCTGTCTTGAACCCTGTTAAAGTCCTGGTCTTCATAAACTCCTCTGGCAAGGAGTTCCACAGGCTGACTGTGCTGTGTAAAGAAAAACTTCCTTTTGTTTTAAACCTCCTAATTAATTTCATTTGGTGATCCTTAGTTCTTATGTTATGGGAACAAGTAAATAACTCTTCCTTATTCACTTTTCCACACCAGTCATGATTTCCTCTGTAATCAACAGCAATGGCTGAGAAATTTACAAGCATCATAAACTGGACATACCAACCCGCAAGGGAAAAGATCTCTCTCAAAAGTATATGCCCCTTTGTGACTGCAGGGCAGTTTGCTCTATAAAGAACTAGCTGAAAATCAGATCTATTGGATTTGTGCCATTTCTTTGAGACTGCTCTGTATCAAACAGTTCACTAAGGTAGCAGGAAAAAAAATGCCTTTTGGCTCACTGGGCTCTTACTACATTTAAAAAGGCAGAGGTGCAGTGCTGGGTCCCTGTCTGCTGAGACTCTGCCTTTTAAATGCAGTAAGAGCCGCAGTACTAGCTCCCCGCCTACCCCATTGCTGCCTCTGATATGGAGGGCAAAGAGGGGAGGGCTGCGTGTAACCGTGAGGATTAACTGATGAGCCCAGGCTCATTGGCTAACCATGTACTCAAATACATCTTCACATTCCTCATATTTTTAGGTCTGATTTTGTAAGCAAGTTGTTTAAGGGGCGTGCAAGACAAAATTCAGACTCCTGAAAGGGGTACAGTAGTCTGGAAGGATTGAGAGCCACGGCACTAGGGTGTTGTAGATTTATACCCCAGCTTGTCATACACCAACAGTCGGTAGAGAATGTCATCACAGAATGAGGCATAAGTATATTCCAGAATTCACGCACAGGTTATGACATACATTCTCCCTACAGCAAGAATTGAAAGGGGCAGCAGAAGGACAAAAGGTGACATCAGTTTAACCAATAACCACCCTGTGCCACCAATTTACAGCATTTAAGCAAACTCTAGTTGTGCTGCAAGTGCTAACCTGGTAAAATACTTACTGCAATGGAAGTATTTCCATCCAGCTGGTACTTAGTGGCAATGCCAAAACGGGTATTGTTGCTACCAGCAGTCCATGCAAGATTTACTGATGTCTCAACTTTATCATTAACCTTCTGATAGATTGAACCACCAAATTCAGTGCCGTCATTCCTGTTTGACACAGATAAAGACTGTATGAAGATTATGCTGGTACTTACACCTCCCAACACTACAAAGTTTCACCTTTCCCTCTCACAATTAGTAAGCTGCAAACAGCACTTCCCTAACAAACCTGGGGATAACCCTAACTCTGTGGGCATATTCAATCCCACGCTACTCTCAGCAGGATCCATGCCTACTTTCTCCCTAGCCAGACATCTCACTTGGGCCCTGGAGATTCTTCACCAAGAGCTGGGTTTAGCCTAGGGAATGAGGGAGCTTTCCAGGAACTGCGGTTTGAAATTTTGACAAGAGAGTTCAGCTCTTCCTTCCCAAGCCAAAAGTAGGGAGGGAAGCACATTCCATGCACAGCATAAACCAATGGGTTCAGAGGGAGCTACACGTAAGCCCTCATCAGTGAAAACAAGTCTCAATTTTGGTGAAGAAACTGACAGTGAGGAAATGCAGACAATTCCCTCCTAAAACACTGCCTCTTAAACAAATGTGGCAACGCAACTCTCATGGCATCCAGCACCAATGACAAACAGGCTACGTCTAGACTGGCAAGATTTAGCGCAAATACTCCAAACGCAAGAGTTTTTGCGTTAGAGTATTTGAGTAAGAGAGCGTCTATATAGGCATGTGCCTTTGCGCAAAAGATTTGCGTTTGCGCAAAAGCATCCGTGCCAGTGTAGACGCTCTCTTGCGTAAGAAAGCTCCGATGGCCATTTAGCCATCGGGCTTTCTTATGCAAGAAATCGATGTTACCTGTCTACACTGGTCTCTTGTGCAAGAACACTTGCGCAAGAGGACTTATCCCTGAGCGGGAGCGTATGAGTATTTGTGCAAGCAGCACTGATTTCATACAGTAGAACATCAGTGTTCTTGCGCAAATACTCGCGGCCAGTGTAGACAGGTGGGAAAATTTTGCGCAAAAGCAGCCGCTTTTGCACTAAATCTTGCCGACGTAGACATAGACGTAGTGTGTGCCAAGACTGTAATGTCGAACGGCTACTTTCACCATGGTCTAGGATTATCTAAGAGAAAAAAGGTAGCAATGTTGAATTAATCCAATTATCCCACTTGACTTTTAGAACATGTTAGTATGTGGAAGGTTCAAATTTCTTCAGTAAGAGTGCTATAACATCATATTTACTAACTTAAATCCTATAGTTACCTAATATACCCTCATTAAAAACTACCCTAATTCCAAAATGCTTTTTCCGCTACCAAATTTAGAGACACAAAACTACTCTGAACTAGTCTCAATGGAGAGCAAACTGGGAAGTGACCTACCTGGGACCGTCTCTTGGGGATGAAAATAAATGACGTAAAGCCATTTAAAACTCAGTCTGAAATCAGTCTCCTCCCCTCTCCACTCAGTATACAGTGAATGTAATTAGCAACACAGCTGGACAGGCACCTCTGGTACAAACACTTACACATTAGTATGCAGCTGGAAGTCTCCGGCCTTGTATCCTAATGCAAAGTTATTCTGAGATAGTTTAGACTTGGCTGTATCAAAAGCCATCTGATAGCCAGCAAGCCAGCCTTCGTAACCCAAAACTGCCCAGCCATGAATGGTTGGTCCAGATAGGTCAATGTCAATGTTGCAGCCTAGGTTTACATACTCCCGTTTGTAGGAGGTCTTCAATTTTCCACTCTTCTTTCTGTGAAGAAAAATATTGTTTTACTCATCCTAGCATGGGCCAGCTACATAGTATTTCTGATGTCTGCACAAAGAGCTTAATACTCATATGGCTTCAAATCTGTGAAGGGGGAGATTGCGGTAGAAATATCTACAAGCTGTTTTGTCCATGTGTTCTAATAATTAATTTACAACATAAATGCACAGAGCTAAGCACCTACTGGTGGTTTTTAAACATTTGAATGAGTATGTATATCTATATCCCATAAATAGCTATAAAATAGAGAGAAAGAATATCCATTTTAATCCTAATGTCATTTTCTTCAGGTTGTCAGCACTGTTACTGGTTAAGTACTAAGGATTATCAGTGGGGTCCTACCAAATTCATGGCCATGAAAAACCCTATACTAGAAGTATACAAAAGTATATGGTGTGTATCAAACTGGGAGTCCTAACTCAAAAGGGACTATAAAAACCCTATAAAAAGTAGGAGAGTCCCAGTATTTATCCCCTTACATCTGCATTGCCTTTAGAACCGGGCAGCTGGAGAGTGGTGGCTGCTGGCACTGTTCCAGAGCTGGCCAGACAGAGAACAGCAGTTGCAGCACAGAAATAAAGGTGACATAGGATGATTGCTACCCTTCTGCATTGCTACTGGTGAAGGTGCCACCTTCACAGAAAGGTAGCCAGAATGCAGTGGCAGCTGGGTGGGCACCGAGCTTTGAAGGCAGTGCTGCTGTCAGCAGCAGCACAGAAGTAAGGGTAGCAATACATACCATGCCACGTTTACATCTACACTGCTG